GAGCTGGGCAGGGTGCAGCTCTCCAGGCAGGAGGCCATCGCCCAGGTCAAGGGCTTGTGAGTCTCTGGGCTGCGGGTCTCCTGTGGCCTCCGAGTCCGGGAGGGCTTCTCTGTGGTTGCTGAGCTGTTCACGCCAGCCTGGCCACCCTGAAGTGTGTGAGAATGGGGGAGTCAGGGTGGGTGGTTGTGGGGCCTTCTGTGTGACTGTGAGGAGTTGTTTGCAGCCTGATCCAGCTGGAGGGGTTCCTGAGCGGGATGTGCTGCAGCTGCGAGGCAGTGTACCGTGTGCTGTACTGGGAGAACCCCACTGTCTCTTCACAGTGAGTAGTTTTGGGTCAGGCGTCCTGTGGTGGGCTCAGCGGGGAGAGCAGCCTGGCCTGGCCTGGCCTGCAGAGCTGCCTTTGATGTGGCTGCTGCTTGGAGACAGCAGGGCAGGCAAGAGAAAAGGGCATGTGCTTGTTGTGCGGGTCACTCTGCCCTGACCACAGTGTCTTGCTGCTCCTTCCCAGGTTTTATGGGGTGCTTTTGTGCTCTGTCTGCATCCTTTACCTGTTGCCTCTCTGCTGGGTCCTGGCCATCCTCAACAGTACCCTCTTCCTGGGCAACAGGCAGTTCTACCGAGGTAAGAGCCCTCCCTGAAGTGGCCTGTGTGGGATGGGTTGGGGAAAGGCCTTCTTAAGCTAGGAGTTTTGTGCTCTTCCATTCCCAGAGCCCTCAGGTGAGCCCTAGTGTCATGTGTCAGGCTCTGCTGTGGGACCTGGATGTCCCAGAGGGCAGTGGTGCCTTGTGGATGGTTCTCAGCAGCCCAGGTTGGGTGTTGGGGTTCTGGGGTTCAGATGCGAGAGGTGATACTCCTGTCCAGTGTGTGTCCTGTTCTGGGTGCTCTTTCCTTCTCTCCTCTGTACCGTGGCAAACTGGGGCCTGGGAATGCAGCCTTGTGCATGAGCATTGTCACCTCTCTTGGTCACTGACCCTGCTCTGCAGGACTTGAAATACTTCAGGTGCCAGTGGCAGTGTGTGACACAGGTTTGAAAACATGCTGTCAGAGGGGAGGAGAAGGGCAGGAAGCCTGCTCTGTTCTGAGGCATATGCTGGAGTAGAGTTGGGGGAGATCTGTGACTGAGCTGCAACTAAGGCCCTTGCTGTTCCCTAGTCTGAGCTGGGGCAGGAGGTGGGGGGTTCCTTGCTGCCCTGATTTTGCTTTGTGAGCAGATGAGGGCTCAGGATACCCAATGGGTGGATGTTTAATTTGTCAATGTCTCACCTGAGTCCTGGAGATTGGCTCTTGAAGCTGGTTTTTATGTGGCAGGCCTGGGGGAAGGGCAGTGCTACCCTAGTCCATCTGTGCTCCTCTTTTACCAGTGGTAATAGAGCTCAAGGCCTCGCTCGAGCAGTGTGTGGGCACCAAACCCCTCGAGACCAGTCCA